AGGGGGGAAAAAATAGAAAGGAAAAAAAAAAAGCCAATTCTAGGGGAAAATAAAGTTAGTAACAGAAAGAAGATGCTGACAGTTCTCCAACAGGCCGCCACCACCACACGTTTCCCCCTTGACACCACTCATGGAACGCTGCCAACTCCAAGTTTATTTTCTTTGAATAGCAAAAAGATTTTTTTAAAAAAGCCACAACACTGCACTCACCACAACTAACAGGACAAAAGGCCCTTTATTAACGATTTCAATTAAATCAGCAAATGACAGGAAATAAAGCAACATTCCAAGCATTTCAATGGGCTGCACGGGCTCCTTCCGTGGCTCAGAACGCAGAAAAGGGCTGCTCCAACTTGAACTGTTGTTGGCTAAATGCTTCTGCGATGGTGCAAGCAGCACCCGCCGCAGCCTTTTACTGGTGTGCAACGTATAAACAGCAGCCGGAACATTTAAAAGCCTCCTAGTAAAAAAAGAAACCAACAACCATGCTTCCTATGTGCTTACTTCACAGTATCCCAGAAAGATGCTATACTCCCCCCTGCCCCATAACTTCCAACAATACAATAACAGTCACATGAAGAAAGGTGGGCGCTCCTCTCTCCATTCCAGTAATGTAACTGGGATGGGGGGTGAGCAGGGCACCAGCACCTGGTGCTAAGTTAGAGAGGGCACTAGTATGACCCCCTCCCTTCAGGAGTCCTCATCACAGCAGAGGTAGCTCTGCACTGCCCAGCCCTGTGCCTTTTAGTGTATCTGGGGGACCAGTGGGGTGAAATGACACTATCTCCAGGGGACACTTTGTCATGGGAAGCACAGACCTATGCCTGGAGAGAGGAAGGAAGCTAATGGGGCACATGGAGGAGCTCCAGAGAACCTGATTTCTGCCTAACTCCCCTGCTCTCCATGCACTGGTCAGTATAATTCACAACTACTCCCACCTTTTTCCCAGGCATTTAAAGGGCTTGCTATACCCCTGCTTTATTCTAAGCATCAACCATAAATACATCTAGAAGCACCCGATTTCCAAGCAATCTTATTTTAAATAGCTGTAAAAAAATAGCTCAGAGTAGGAGAGAGATAACTGTGGAATCAGCCAAAGGAAGCTCTGAGCCTGCTGCTCCATAGATCTAACACCTTATACTCTCAATGCATTAAAAATCACTCAAATTGAGGTGGAGGTAAAATCTGGCTGAGCTGCTTATAATCATTTTCCTCCAAAGACAGCACACTGCTAGTACACATTTTGGATGAGCTACATGTTAAGGTGCCCAAGAGGATTTCAAAGCATTGAGGTTTTGATCTATTCAGCTTCATCTCTTGTACTTACATGAGGCTCCTTCTCAAAACTTCCCACCGTTAGCATAACTTCAGCTCCAACGCTGGTCTCGTCAGTGGAAACACTAGTGTGACAGGCTGCTGGTGTTTAGTGCAACGTGTTGCCTAGTCCTATTCTGAACAGGGAGGGAGCATTAAGATGCTGGCTGACTCTACACGAGCAGTCCCCATCATTGCTAGGTGCTAGGACTGAAATGGCAGCTGAACTCTAGAGAAATTTTAAAGGAAAAAAGGTGTAGCAGGACCACAGTGAATGGCTCCAGATTATTTAGGCAACCAATCTCCTTCCCTAATTCTCTAATGGTTATGAGATGATGATGTATTTAAATGAGGGAGTCTTAGCTGCATCTGTATCTAATAGCCACCTTTCAGAACAAAATGTAGGTTTTTATTTCCAACCTGAACATGGCAGAGCTCAGAGAGGATGGTCCTGAAGCTGAGCAAAATCTGCATGTCTTTACAGACTTTGCTGGTTAATTAGGGAAGCAGAGGGAGGAGACAGGAAATAAAAAGAGGCTAAGATTAGGAACCATATGGGTGGTCATATTTCTAGCAAAATTTATTTAATGCTGCTCCATCTGAAGTCTCTAACACGCAGTTAAAGTACAGAGTAAGTACGCAGGGGAAGGGAAAGTAACTCTGTGTACTCAGAAATAATACTCTTCTTCCTAAAATGGAGGTTTTAATCCAGTGGTGCCCAATCTTTTTGCCCAGTGGGCCAGATGGGCAGTGCCCAGTCCATCTGTGGGCTAGATCCAACAGGTGGTCCCAATCTGGTGCCCAGGGTGGATGTGGCAGGGCCCCATCCCATCCAGTCATATAGGAGAAGGGGGCATGGCCAAGCCTCAACCCCAACATGCAGAAGGGAGGGGTGTGTCATTTCATCAGAGTGCAAAATATGCCATGGAGATGATAAGGGGTTTAAAACCCAAATGCAAGTTTTTATTGAGTCCTATTTCTGTTGGCATGGCAGAGTCCACATACCATGATGACAAGTGCACTGTAAAGATTTAACTGGAAGACAGAATGAACTGGATTCTTTATTTTGGCTTGTAAAACAATCTAACAAATTAAGACCATTTTTTAACAAGCTTTTGATAATGCATGAGGCAGGAGGAACACAGCTCAACTCTCAGATTTCAAGTGCAGTTTACACAGCTGGCAGAAACAGAAAAATGGAGTTCAACTGATCTGTAAGTCAGAGGCATAAAAGTATCACTTAACAATTCTACTTTAAAAGTCACTTCAGAGTATGAGGGATTTGAAAGAAATGGATGATGTCTCAATTATGAGCCCCTAACAGAAAATTGAGAAGGATGAAATGGTTTCTAGTTCTAGTTTCTAGCAGTTGGTATCTCTTAATAAGTGCATCAGCTCCTGCAACCCTGGAATTCCAGTTTTATAAAATACTCATGGTGTAGTTGACTTTCTAGACAACCTCTCATGAGAGCATGCGATTATTTTTACGCATATATAAATTATAATATTTATTATATAAAAATTATGAAAGCTGCTTTATATACATCAAACATTTTGTATTTGTACAGCATCTACTTGGACTCCTGGTTTCGGACTGGGGCTCTTAAGGCGCTAAACACAACAGCAATTCTTTCCACAAATAAACAAACAGCGAACGAACTATATGTTGTAGGTAAAGGAACCTCTTTCCTCCATCAGGGTATTGTAATTATTTCTGTGGTAAAACATGGGAAGCTATTCAAGAAAAGAATCTGGGACAGAGAAGCAGAAATACTGTTTTCAGCTTATATCATGGGTAGCAATATACTTTAGTATAGAGTACCAATCTGGTCTTATATGGATATTTTATCATAGATGAGTGTCATTCTGAGTAGGAGAACTCAACAAAAATAAGAAAAACGAAAAAAAAAGTAAGCTCTTTGGACAGGACTCTTTCTTTCCTGCATTTGGACAGCAAAAAGGAGGTACTGCCATTAGTAAATAATGATTTTTCCCAGTATGGACTATGCCGTTCAAAGACTTAAGTACAGATTCAGGTCTTGCATAAATACATGACTAGCCCTCTTGCATTCTACAGTCAGTACACAGATGTCAAAAAACACTCTCAGATAATAAATCCTAAAGCTTCAAAATAAGGCAGCGTGGGAAAGAAAAGCACAGAAGAAAAGCACACCAGGCAAGCAGTTCTCAGAACAGAGATCTCCTTCACTCCATTTCTTCCTTTGACAGACACTAAATTGGGTTTCCACCCAAAAAAGACAGTGATTCAGGTAAATACAGGGATGTGTGTGTGTCTCTATTATATATACATATATTGGTGCCCAGCATTTATCTGATGGCCTGAGATTATTTCCCTGGCCCAACTGCCCAGGCGCCAAGGTTTTATCGCGCTGTCGCTTTTGTGCCCGCTTACTCAGGTTGTTAACTTGGCATTTGTTTTGTTCACTGCTTCATGCAAAGACTGAGAGGCTTTGTCACACTTCGCTTCTTTGAAAACGTAAAGTCTGTTCTGAGTACCTGCCACCACCCCCCTAGAATTGAGCTAGTGCCAGTTACTTAATTCCATCTCCTTCCCCACTTTTCCACGAAGATCCAATCACTGGACTAAAATTCAAAGAGCTCATTTCTTAATGTCAACAGAAAAGAATAGAAGTGGGTTCCTTCAGATTTAAATAACTTAATAAGCATACACCAATATGCCAAAGTATGAATACAGAGCACTGGCAACATTGAATGGTGGAGACAAAAGCCTGTGGATGCCAAGAAAGGTAAGAAGATAAATATTGCCACACACTCTAGGGCAGTGGTCACCAACCAGTGGATCGAGATCCACCGGTAAATCTCGGAGCCTCTTGCGGTAGATCTCGGAGCTTCTTGGAGTCAATCCGAGGCTGGGGTGGGGGGCTGAGTGCCTGCATGCACTCACCCAGCCCAGCCGGTCAGTCCGTGGGGGGAGGGAACAGGCGGGGGTCTAGATTGAGGCCCCCGTGATGAGGAAAAGCACTGCAGAAGCAGGAGCACGGGTAAGTTGAGTGGGGCTCCAGCCAGGTTGGACTTACCTGTTGGGGAGGCGCACCCCCAAATAATTTTTTCCCCCTCTGCCTAGATCTGCCCCCCACTTCCCTCCCCACAGACTTCCTTGCTGGGAGGAGGGGTGGGGGAGATGGCAGCAATGCACAGTAGATCTAGGGTTGCTTTTAAATGCCAGCGGTGATCTGCTTAAAAAGGTTGGAGACCACTGCTCTAGAGTAAGTTAATAATGCCATAATTTTACTTTGCTATATTTTGGAAACATCTGACTAATATGCTAAAAAAACCAGGCAATAATGGACAATTACTTACACCATGGTAACATACCAATCATGAAGCATGTTACAATGGCAGTCAGGGCTAGGGTTTTATTAATAGAAAGAACTCTAATGTGACATCCTCCTTGCCTGCAAGCAGTAATCCCATAATCCATAATCATGCTAAGGAATTTTGGTGCCTGTATTTACCCACTCTCACCTCTGGTGGTGCTTTACATTGTGCATGGCTTCTAAAGGAGGACAGGAATAAATCCTGTACATAGAAGCTGAAAGCAGTTCATTGAACAGGCATTTCAGATGAGTTCACAATCTCTTTACAATGCAAGAGAATGCCATGTGCCTCACACCAAGCAAGGAGAGGTAACCAAAAACAGAGAGAGAGAGAGAAGAGCTTTTAATCAAGGTAAAAAGATTGTCATTGTTTAATATGCACAAGTCACAGTATCTGCTCTGAGATTGTTACTCTGGGTAACATTTCAAGTTTATTGTCAAAACTATATTGTTAGAATATAACCATACAGGAGGAGCAGGCAGTAACAGAGGGACCTGAAAAGCAGTGCTTTCAGAAAAAACAAGTACCACAGTGATCACTATTTTTCCCATTCACTTGAAGCTTAAATCATAGGTTACTCAATAGAATTTTCAAAATGCAACAATAATTAAATTATAAAAAAAGCCAAATATTTTAGCATTTTTTCCAGAAAGTTTTTACCTGGGATCAGTAGCAAATGCAACCGGTATCTAATTGTGCCAGTAGAAATTAGAGTTTGCATTTTCTAAACGGATCATGTCAGCATTCTGGACCACTCCAACAGAGAAGGTAAGGAAAAACAACTTACGCAATTTCTATCAACAGCACAGAATACATTAAACAGGAGCAACTACTGATCAAAATACAGTGAAATGGATATAGACCTGATATACTGGCTAAAGAATTTCTCAGTTTAAAGAAATGTTTTGTACATTTGGAGGCAAATTGAGTACTAGAGAGAAAAAAAAGTATTGTTAAAGCAGTGGTGGTGTCCACCAACACATTACACAGTACATACATCTACTTGCTCTTTCTGCAGTGCTTACTATTAAGACCATAGGGCTGAGGTCTCCTCTCCTGTAATAAGTTAATTCATAGGATACAGTGTTTAGAACATTAATGGTAAAACACTTCGTGAAGAATCAAAGACAGACTCTTTGCAAAAGTTCATGGTTCTAAATTCAGAGAGCGGAGACTCTAGCCTCCTTGCATCTTCATTAGCTAGATCCCTTCTCTTCTTCAGTTACAGTGGCCTCTGTAGAAGCAGCTTCTAGATCTTTGCTTGGCTTTTCTTTCTCTTCATCATCATCTTCTTGGGGATAAAGGTCTGGAAACTTTTGCATGCACTCCTGCATGGCACGGAACTGGTCCACACAGTCTGATCCTTTTATTTCTTCTGTGCTATGGTGGAAACAGGAAAAGGCCGATTTGAACTGCTCTCCACAGGGGCCACTAGCCATTCCACCAAGGCACGGACAATTCCAATTGATATCTCCATTAGGCAATATCAATCCTGAACAAACACAAGAGACAGAAGAAAAATTAGGTGTTCCATAGAGGTAATTTTGTTTTAAAGTTGCATCAAAGTTGCTGGGTCACAGCATCAGAGACTGGACTCTATTATAACCACAAAACCAGAACAGCATGGATAGTGGCAGAGCAAACCAGCCTCTTTAGTGTAGTTAGTGATCCTCAGCCTTGACCTGCCTGACCCATTACTGTGGAAGAGATCCTAGTTTAATATGCATGGCCCATTTCAGCCTGTGAGAGGAGGAGGGAAGGCAATGTACAAAGCTGAAGATGAACAATGAAATCACCATAGGGAAAAGAAACTTGGATTTTGTCTGGGTATGACAACAAAGAGAGGGAAGGTAATTTGTATTATTAAATCTAACATATAGTACACTATTATTTTAGCTCTTTAACTTGCAGGGACAGGAGTGGCATAAATATGGTACACAGCTTTAGCAGATGGAGTCCTTGGATGATTTTCTCATACTTACCTCATATTTTCTCATATGTAAAAACTTATGTTTGTATTGTTGCATGTGTAATATCTACAACATACTAAGGTGGCCTATTCACTCTAACTCCAACATGAAAGTAATCACGGGCCAATCTAGAATAGCTTCTTTTGGCTTTCCTTAGTTTAGCATAGGCTCCCCCTCACCTCTTAACAGCTAGAAATTTTCCCCACTTTGCCCTTCAGTGATAAGTTTGCTGTTCCATGCAGTGCTGGATACTGGATGTGTATCACTGCAGTAGAAGTCCTTTCCTTTTCAAAGCAGCTGTTCTAACCAGTTATGAGATGACTACCAACCATGGAAGAGATCAAATGCCGTCAATGCTGATTTCCAGAATTAAACTCTTTATTTGACTCTAAATTGGTCTGATCCAATTTAAATTCAACTGAAACACTCCTATTGTCTGCATGGGCTTTGGATCATGCTTGGTGTCTCCTATGCCCTATGATCATAAAGGCACATCAAAGTGCTACTTTCCAACTAGTATCAATTCAAGCTTCCAGGACGAAAATGGCTGTTTAGCTGAGTATTAAGAACTTCTATTGCCATGGGACAGCAGCCTACTGAAGAATTTCATTGCTTGGTGCCTCCAATTCATTTGAGCAAGAAAACAGCAGGAACAAGAAAAGCCAACTGTTGAGTGAAATACACACTCACTTTTTATATTCACACTTTTCCCCTCAAGAATCTCATGAATTTCCAGAACTTGGTTTAACTTCATCAAACCAGACGATGAAAAAAGGGCATTAGAGGATGAAGCAAAGTGGGTGTAAAAAGCACTGAGTTATGACCATCTGCATTACAACACTATGCCTCATAGCAAGTTGAAGAATTGCCATTAATATCATTTACATTTGCAGAACTTCTGTCCAGACTCAAATACCAAACTCAACTGAACAAAATGAGTTTTATAAGAGTCTACAAGCCCCATTTGTGACAGTATTTTATTGACAAAATGTAACTAGTGCAGTGCACTGTGGCAATTCTGGCATAACTTGGCAGGCTCCCGAGAGAAAAACAAGAGATACTGAGACAAGGATATGGATGGCCAATTTCAGGCTCTTTATTACTAGGGATAACATGAAACAAAGTGCAGAAAGTTCACCGGCAGTGTAGAAGAAATATGCCTTTGCTTTGTAAATTGAGCAAACTAGATTCTAAGTCACCGAGGGAGACTATCAAACATCAACCAGGCATTTTAACAGACATTTTTCTAGCACTTAAAACCAACACAGGAAAAGTTTTGAAATACTAGAATGAGGGCAGTATGGCACTGCAATTCCTTGCTGAATAATCCTCTTAAACCAGAGGTAATCAACCTGTGCCCCCAGGCTAGATCTGGCCCCCTGAGCTGCATCATCCAGCCTGCAGACTCCCCATGGCTCTGAAAGCCTGGCATCAGGGGAGCAGTGGCAGTGTTAACTGCTGTTCCCCTACTGCTAAGTTTCTGGCATCCATGGGGAGCTGCATGGGCCTGGTAGCCCAGTCCTGTACACTAGGTCAGACATGCAGTGGGGAAGGGGGCATTTCAGCATGTTGTGTGGTACAGGATGCTAGGGATCGCTTCCCATGTGCAGGGGCAGCAGAGCACCAGAGCCTAATCCAAGCATGCGGGGCCAGGCGAAGGCAGAGCAGGGCCCGACCCTGGGAGGTGGGACCCAATCCAGCCAGCAGACCAGCCCCATGGGGCCAAAAGGCTGAGCACTACCAAAGCAGAAATTGTAAGTTTTAAGTCCCAAACATGACCCAAAAACAGGACTTCTCACAAACAAACATTTGGAACATATCTATTGCTCTTAATTGTCAAATTGATGGTGATCTTTCCTTATAGAAGGAACAAGCTTCCAATACAGAAACCTTGCCTTGGAGGATAGAATGAAAAACATTTTTTTTTCTCCAGTGGACCTGAGGTATAGATGAGTGTGCATTTAAAGTAATAAGATATACCAGTAGAGGTCCACTAATACATCAGTCTGATATTGGACTGGCACCAATATAAAGAAAATTGACTAATCAGAAATCGGGTTTTTTTGCCTGATGTGGCTGATAATGTGGCCAATAAATGCCCCGTAGGTGCATGCAGCTGCAGCATGCATGGGGCCAGGAGCATAGCCCGGCAGCTTGAAGAGCTGCGTCCAGCTGGTAAGTCTGTTGTGAAAAGAGAGGGGAAAGGGAAGGGGTGTGGGGGGGAAGGTAGATCGAGGCCCCTACAGTGAGGGAGTGAGAGGGGCTGGAGCACGCACTGCCCAGCCAGGGCAGGGCAGGGCAGGGCAGGATGCAG